CGTCTAATTTATATTGGGACGGAAGGTGTGACTTTAGCTTGACGAATTTCACGTTCCATCGGTAAATGCTATTTTGCTTCTAATGGGAAAGTAATATTTTTTACTCGGTCGATTTTGTCATCCATTCGTAAAGATGATTTACCTCCATACCATATTAATTCCGTTGTGTATAAATTTGAGTGTAGTTGTGGATATGACTACATAGGTAGAACATCTCAATGTTTGGATTTCAGAATTAAACAACATTTACCCCCCAGAATTCTTGAATCCGGCCGCTAGTGGTAGTCAGCTGGTTAATACATCCGGGTCTTCCATAGCACAGCATGCTATAAACAGTAGGCAATGTGTGTATGGTTTGAGTGTCGACCGTAAGCCTTCTCTCTGTAAACAGACCGATTGCTTGTTGGGTTTGGATGTGATTGGACTCTTGTTTTTTTTTTTTTTTTTCCTCGGTACCTCATTTCATCCTTTTAGTCCTGTAAGATATACCGAGAAAATAAACTTGATAAGATCTGGGTCGAAACCGGTCCTTTTAGTTCTTTGTTAAAATGCCATCAAAAACTTACGTATTCCTTGCTGATATATATATATATATATATATATATATATATATATATATATATATATATATATATGTATGAAGTTATGTAAACCACATAAACTTCAATAAATTGAATCTGCTTTGTAAAAATATTAGCAAAATATAATCGTTCAATTTAGGCCTTAAAACAAACGTTGTGTTAAAAACTAATTATTTTCAATATGATTTATTCGTGTTGTTTTATCCCTTCTGAAAATGATTGTCAGAAATTCTTATATAAAACCACAGAATTAGAATTCATTTCCCAATTTTTACAAATGATAAAAACCTATGATAGAACAAAGAGCAAAACTATATGATAAATATTAGAAGTACTTACACCAGGGGTTTTAAACTCAAGAATACAAAATTCTCATTGCATTCTACCTGAGAAGTGTGCAGCGAAGCAAAACAAGGGCCGCGGCGAACATATCTAACATTGAAAAGCATAAACTCGCCTACCAATGAGACACGGACACTGGAGACAGTTAACCATCTATAGGGATCGCGACCTCACTTAATTTCAGGTTCCCGAACAAGATACCACACATATACTAAGCTATATTAAATTATCTTTTAACGATATGAATTGTGAAAATGAAAGAAAGCAATAAAGAGGAAGACAATTAAGCAAAATTTCTCACGTATTGCAGCTGTTTGTGTTTATTAAGTATCTCTTTTCTTTTAAGAAAAAGGGCAACATTTACGAGTAATTTTTTAAAAGAAAAATTGATTATTAATTCAAACAGAAACAGTTCACCCTAAGGAAAGGGATTATGACACTAAGCCTCATTGGGTTACCGGGGGCTAAAGCAAATGCAAAGACTACTGAGAGGAAGTGAGGAGAAAGAACAAGAAAAGAACAGATTTCAGAAAGACAGAAGATGGCGATTAGTTTAGCATTGAAAACATAGAAGGTGGCGGGGAAGGAAGAAATTGGAAGGGATTTAAAAACATGTCTTGAATCAGTTAAAGCAGGAAGTGTCCTTAAGCATCAAAATCGTGTTTTCTTTTCTTCTCTGTCAAGGAACTAGAACAGGACTCTCCTTAAAATTGATTGACTCTCCTTTGTCTTTTGTGGGTAGGTCTAGCGCAATATTGATGCAGGGACAGAAAAGTTGATTTTCACCCATTGGTGAAAATGAAATTACGTGTCAGCTGCTTAGTGACGTCACTGCATAATGGCGAAAGTGTCAGTCACTCAGTCTTACTGTCGATCAGCTTTCAGGAGTCAAACTGAGCAGTTCCATTTGATGCTTTTTTTTTTTTTGTTAGGATAGACCTCTTAGACAATCTGTCTTACCCAGAAGTTCTATGTTAGTGTTTCCCCTTGGGAATTTATCTTCCCCAGGAATAGAAATAAAAACCGACTCGCAGTGCTCACGTTGGGGGGGAAAAGAAACAGTACACACTGTTTTCCTCGCTGGCGAAACAGCAGCTGAATCCGGCCCGCTCGAATTAGGAATCCTAAAAATGGCTTCACCAGAAACATAGTATCTCCGGCAGATCCAATTCTAACTGACAGGTATTATACGTCAGACTATCGATTCCGTATCCTTTTCACTCTGCTTGTTGTGTAGATACGTGTTATATTTTCTCTGCTTGAAAATACGTGTGTATAGTTTTATGCATGACTTAGCGAGTAACCGGACGTGACATGATATTATTTACCACTATCACTGCTACTACAAAAGTGCGGAGGGAGCGAGGGATACATTTATTAAACTTTAAGTTTTAAAAATTATTGGTCAGAAAAATTGTTCTTGAAAAGATGGTTCACGGACTGTAGGCGTATTTGAGACTCCTCGGTTACACCGTAGGTCAAGTGTTTGAGGCTACAATCTGAAATTCGAGAAATAGCCTTAATATTAGCGATAGTGTGCCGGTTTCAATACAAGAGAGATTTTCTTTTTCTGAAAGGTTTTATCATATATTCAATAATAATAATAATAATAATAATAATAATAATAATAAATAAAATTACCCTATTACTGCAGAAATGCTCCTTAACATTTTAGCCCCTCTGCCTAATATAGCTTACTGGCTAATTTTTATCTAATGTGGGGCGGCTTTTAAATGTTAAAGTTGGCTCCCTGTGCCGCGCCAGGAAATTTTTCTCCCCGAAATCGATCCTCCAGATCTACAAATCAACAATTCGCCCTTGCATGGAGTATTGCTGCCATATATGGTCTGGATACCCTTCTGTTTGCCTCGGGGTTTTGATAGGCTCCAGAGGTGGATATGCAATATAATTGGCCCTGCTTTGGCATATCGTCTACAGTCACTTTCTCACAGACTCGCCGTCGCCTCTCTCTGTCTGTTTTACAAATAATTTCATGGTAATTGCTCCGAGAAGCTGCATTCGCTGGTTCCCAGACTTCATGAGTTCAAGCGCACTGCGAGGCTGGCATCCCGCTCTCACCCCTTCACTGTCAAAACTCCTAAATGTAGCCGTCTCTTCTACTCCAATAGCTTCATGTCTCGCAACTCTCGCCTGTGAAACTCCCTTCCCTGTTCCATTTTCCCTGAGAGCTATAATCTCCAGCTATTCAAATGTAATGTCAATCGACATCTCCAATTGACTGGATCTATTCCACTACCATTCTTCTCATCCTTTCTTCTATCACTCCTATCTGATCTTGCTCCAAATTTTCTGTAACCTCTTGCGTCCTAGTGGCTTCCCGCCTTGCTTGGGGTGAAACGCTTAAAAAAAAAAACAAAAAAATGCACTCTTTAAAAATTGTACGCCACGTACTAAAGGGTCAAAAACTGTTCTGTTGAATCGATTCCTTATTTTCCTGATCACTACAATCAGTTCTGTTCAAGTCTACTGTTTACAGTTATCTTCCCCCACCTATCCGCATAAACTGTTCCATTTATTCTGTAAACCTCTACCTCAAGTGGCTCCCGGGTCTTGTACAGGGAGATCTAAAAAGGTCTCAGAAATACCTCCAACACAGACAGTAAAATGTATTTCTCGGTGGTATATGTGGGAGGTATTCCTGACCTAGCTTTGCATTTCCGGTCGCTGGCTTTGCTCAGTAGGTGTTAATTGAACAAAAGATGTTATGAAATTAATATTTATTGAACTCACATGGTGACCTTCATCTTTTGCACTACAGTGTACATATTGATACAGTGATTCTTCTTATCCATCTCACTCAGGAATCCACTGATTTTTTTTTTAAGTTCTTGACTTCATAAGGCACATTTTCAAGCAGGTTGGTTTCTGTTGCTTCACAGCTGACTCATGCGTAACAATTATGACTTAGCTTCGCAAAACGAAGATGACGATGGAGACTATACCCGTCCCTTGCAGTCACCTTTGTAACTGATAAGTCCAATTCGGGACAGGTATACTCGGTCGAAGTAGTTGCAGCTAAAGGACTGGCTTGGGCTCTATGTCACAGCATTGTAGTACTTCCTCCTGTCTCTCTAAAACAGACCTGCAGGTATTTCCAAAGATGATAGCATGCTTGCTGATGAGAAGTCAGTTGTCACAAATCTCAGCTAGGGTTGATCATTGGTAATGGTTTATGTGACAAGCAACAAAGGAATTTTTCAGCAATCAGTTCTTTGGTGCCCATCTGGCACGATAGGATTTAGAGAGCAAGTTGTGCAGGCGATAGTTTTCCATCATGGCCTCAATACCGGTGATCTTCAACTTTTCAAGAACTTTGATATTGGAGACGAAGACACTCCACTGTATGTTCAGGTTCATGCGAAGGCAGCGCTCGTGGAACCGTTCGAGGAGACGCAGGTGGTGTTAGTAGGTGGCCCATGATTCTGAGCTGTATAGGAGAGTGGTGAGGGCGATAGATCTATATACCCTTATCTTAATGCCCTTCTTCAGGTGTCTATTGTATCAAACACGTTAAAGTCTGCCAAATAAAATACTCGCCCTTGCCAGTCTGTTATCGACCTTCTTGTCAATCCCAGCATCCGATGTCATAGCTTATCCAAGGTAGGTAAACCGATGGAGAGCCTTCAGCTCAGTTGCGCCAATGATAATGTGGTAGGACGATTCTCATCCCGAAGCGTAGGCTGATAGTGTACCCGTTTTCTTTAAATTGAGTCTAAGCCCCAAAAGACTGACAGACTCTTGAAGCAGAAAATGGTCTGCTGCAAAGCCCTTTTCTGTGTAGGCAAAAATGGCAGCGTCGTTAGCAAAACAGACGTCCCGAGTGTTGTTTCAGGAGCTTTTAATCGTCGTCCTTTAAACAGGCCACCATCGAGAGAGTATCTGATGTAGACTCCGTCATCATCAAGATCTTTCATCGCTTGCTTGAGAGTCGGTGCCAGAACGCAACCTTACTTTACACCGTTGGTGATCGAAAAGGGCTCTAAGAGATCGCCGTTGTGTCTAACTTGGCCAGGCTGATCCTCGTGCACCTCAATGATCATGTTCAGGAACTTCGGA